AGGCAGGAGGGCCTCCATCCAAAGTCATGGAACAGGACACTGAGCAGAGCCTTGGGAGTGATGCCGTTACCACCCCACTGGACTTGGAGGCTAAAGCATTGAACCAAAGAGGATTATTCTTAAGCCTTAAAATCTAATGGAATTTGCCTTGCTAGATTTTGAACTTGCTTAAAACCTATCATGCCTTTGCTCCTTTCCTGTTTCTGCCTTTTAGAATGAGAATGTCTATGCCTGCCCCACCACTGTATTTCAGAAGAACATAACTTGTCTGATTTCACAGATTCACAGCTGGAGAAGAATTTTGCCTCAGGATGAATCATACCTCAAGTCTCACTGTATCTGATTTAGATGATATTTAGGTGAGACTTTAGAGTTGATGCTGAAATGAGTAAGACTTTTGGGACTGTTGGGATGGAATGTATTTTACATGCAGGAAGGAATTTGAGGGGCCCATGGTTAGAATGTTGTGGACAGAATGTGTCTGCCCCACAAACATGTTGCAGCTCTAACCCACAATGTGATGATGAAGAGACACCGGAGAGCACTCTTCCTCCCTTCTTTTCTCCCCCTCCCTCCCCTGTGAGGACACAGCAAGAAGGTGGCTCACTGCAAGTCAGGAACAGAGCTCTCTCCAGAACCTGACCTTACTTGCATCCTGATCTTAGATTTCCAGCCTCCATAACTGTGACAAAATAAAATGTCTGTCATTGAAGCTGCACAGTCTATGGTATTTTGTTATGGCAGCCCAAACTAAGACAGAGCTTGCAGTAAGCCCCAATGGAAAAATCACAGTACAGTTTCCTGGGACTCTGGAGCAAGGCCATGCCTTCTGCAGCAAAGAATTATACATATTTTAAGAACCACCTACTAGTGTGATACTGGATGTTGGTGGAGACAGAACAATTAACTGTAGGACACCAAGTAACGATATGTCTAGTACTGCCTATTATGGACTGGGTTCTGTTGGTTCAGATGGACCCAACAGCATCTGTTGTAAGATGGACATCATACATCTGGGATGAAACTCAAACGTTATTGGGACACTAAGCTGCATGACCAGATAGCCCAACCCCTATGTCACTTACTATCGCGTACCGCCACCTAGGGGGATGGCAGGAGAACGATCACCGAAGGCCTGGTTCGTTAGGAATCTTTATTATGGGCGTCCGAGCATCCATCTGGCGAAAGGCAAAAGCAAAAAACAACAACCACACCCCTTCCTCTAGGGCAGCAGTTTATATAGCATATCCCAACCAATCAGCTGACTGATCACGCGCCAGGTTCAGTCTTATTGGAAACATGTGAAAAGCATGCTATGAGCACGAGCACGGAAATGGGGACAAGCCAATCATGAAGACTTCCTTATGCGCTGAGCTGTAGGGCCAGGAAGGATGGTGTCTAGGAAGCAGGCGCTATCTTTAGGGCATTGTCCAGCTAGAGTGGGGCTCAGCCTCGGCCATAGGCCGGGCCCCCACATCTCCCCCTTTATTGTTTTATAACCAAAGGGCTGTCGGGATCATGCCTGTCTTAGGTTGTCCGGAGTCTGCGGCATTCTTACCCATCCTCAGGCAACAGACAACTTAGGTCT